TCAGATATCTTCTCAAGCCAAATAACATTCACACATACACTTAGAAAAACCAAACCGCACAAAAAACAAATTCTTGCACACGCTCACATCACGCATGCAGCGCATGAACACATGATGGGAGGCCGACAGACGTGAATGCATATGATTGCATCACAGAACATGGATGAGGAGGGATGAGAGTGTGTAAGAGAGTGTATGAGAGTGTATGAGAGGGGATGAGAGGGGATGACCAGGGATGAGAGTGCACGAGAGTGAAAGGGAGTGTATGAGAGTGTATGAGTGTGTATGGGAGTGTATAAGAGGGGATGAGAGTGCATATGATAGTGTATGAGTGGGTATGAGTGGGTACGAGAGTGTATAAGAGTGTATGAGAGGGAATGAGATGGGATGAGAGGGGATGAGAGGGGATGAGAGTGAATGAGAGTGTATGATAAGGGATGATGAGAGTGTATGAGAGTTTAGGAGAGTGGATGAGAGTGGTTGAGAGTGTATGAGAGTGTATGTGAGGGGATGAGAGTGTATGAGAGTGAACGAGAGGGGATGTGAAGGGATGAGAGGGGATGAGAGTCTTTAAGAGTGTCTGATAGTGCATGAGAGAGGATGAGAGGAGTTGAGAGTGTATGAGAGTGGATGAGGAGGGTTGAGAGTGTGTAAGAGAGTGTATGAGAGTGTGTGAGAGTGTATGAGTGGGGATGAGAGGGGTTGAGAGGGGATGAGAGGGTATGAGAGGGGATGTGAGGGGATAAGAGGGGATGAGTGCTCATGAGACTGTATCAGAGTGTATGAGTGTGTATGGGAGTGTATATGAGGGGATGAGAGTGTATATGAGTGTATATGAGTGGGTACAAGAGGGTATGAGAGTGTATGAGAGGGAATGAGATGGGATGAGAGGGGATGAGAGGGGATGAGAGAGAATAAGAGTGTATGGAAGTGTATGAGAGTGGATGAGAGCGGATTAGGGGGTATGAGTGTGTATGAGAGAGGATGAGAGTGTTAAAGAGTGTATGATAGTGCATGAGAGAGGATGAGAGGAGTTGAGAGTGTATGAGAGTGGATGAGGAGGGTTGAGAGCGTGTAAGAGAGTGTATGAGAGTGTGTGAGAGTGTATGAGATGGGATGATAGGGGATGAGAGGGGATGAGAGGGGATGAGAGGGGATGACCAGGGATGAGAGTGCACGAGAGTGAAATGGAGTGTATGAGAGTGTATGAGTGTGTATGGGAGTGTATAGGAGGGGATGAGAGTGTACATGACAGTGTATGAGTGGGTATGAGTGGGTACGAGAGGGTATGAGAGTGTATGAGAGGGAATGACATGGGATGAGAGGGGATGAGAGCGTTTGAGTTTGTATGAGTGTGTATGGGAGTGTATAAGAGGGGATGAGAGTGTATATGAGTGTATATGAGTGGGTACAAGAGGGTATGAGAGTATATGAGAGGGAATGAGATGGGATGAGAGGGGATGAGAGGGGATGAGAGTGAATGAGAGTGTATGGAAGTGTATGGGAGTGAATGAGAGCGGATTAGGGGGTATGAGTGTGTATGAGAGGGGATGAGAGTGTTTAAGAGTGTCTGATAGTGCATGAGAAAGGATGAGAGGAGTTGAGAGTGTATGAGAGTGGATGAGGAGGGTTGAGAGTGTGTAAGAGAGTGTATGAGAGTGTGTGAGAGTGTATGAGATGGGATGATAGGGGATGAGAGGGGATGAGAGGGGATGATAGGGGATGACCAGGGATGAGAGTGCACGAGAGTGAAAGGGAGTGTATGAGAGTGTATGAGTGTGTATGGGAGTGTATAAGAGGGGATGAGAGTGTATATGATAGTGTATGAGTGGGTATGAGTGGGTACGAGAGTGTATGAGAGTGTATGAGAGGGAATGAGATGGGATGAGAGGGGATGAGAGGGGATGAGAGTGAATGAGAGTATATGATAAGGGATGATGAGAGTGTATGAGAGTTTAGGAGAGTAGATGAGAGTGGTTGAGAGTGTATGAGAGTGTATGTGAGGGGATGAGAGTGTAAGAGAGTGTATGAGAGTGAACGAGAGGGGATGTGAAGGGATGAGAGGGGATGAGAGTATATGAGAGAGGATGAGAGTATATGAGAAGGGATGAGTGTGTGAGATAGGATGAGAATGGATGATAGGAAATGAGTGTGTATGAGAGTGAATGGGTATGTATGAGGGGATGGGAGTGTATGAGAGTGAGTTTAGGAGATTGAATGAGAGTGGTTGAGAGTGTATGAGAGTGTATGAGAGAGGATGAGAGTGTATGAGAGTATATGAGAAGGGATGAGAGTGTATGAGTGTGTACGGGAGAGTATGACGGGATGATAATGTATATGATAGTGGATGGGAGGGTATGAGAGTGTACAAGAGTGTATGAGAGGGGATGAGAGGGGATGAGAGGGGATGTGAGGGGATAAGTTTGAATGAGAGTGTATGAGAGTGTATGAGTGTGTATGGGAGTGTATAAGAGGAGATGAGATTGTATATGAGTGTATATGAGAGTGGGTATGAGAGAGTATGAGAGTGTATGAGAGGGAATGACATGGGATGAGAGGGGATGAGAGCGTATGAGAGTGAATGAGAGTGTATGGGAGTGTATAAGAGGGGATGAGAGTGTATATGAGTGTATATGAGTGGGTACGAGAGGGTATGAGAGTGTATGAGAGGGAATGACATGGGATGAGAGAGGATGAGAGGGGATGAGAGTGAATGAGAGTGTATGATAAGGAATGATGAGAGAGTATGAGAGTTTAGGAGAGTGGATGAGAGTGGTTGAGAATGTATGAGAGTGAATGAGAGGGGATGAGAAGGGATGAGAGTGTATGAGAGTGTATGAGAGTGAATGAGAGGGGATGAGAACGGATGAGAGGGAAAGAGAGGGAATGAGAGGGAATGAGAGGGAATGAGAGTGAATGAGGGGATGAGAGGGAACGGGAGTGTGTGTGAAGGGATGAGAGGGGATGAGTGTGTACGAGAGGGGGTGAGCGAGAGGGATGGAGAGGGGATGAGTGTGTATGAGAGGGGGTGTGGAAGAGGGATGGAGAGAAGACTCAACATAACTAGAGGGGACTAGAGAGCAGTCAAGCACGAGATAGCATAAAAGAAAAGCTTGGCACGAGAGAGGGAATTGACGTAATCGAGGCTTTGGCCAAGGATGACACGGCATGCAAGGGAGTGAGGAAAGATGGGTAGGAGACAAGAGAGCACGAGAGGGGAGGCTAGCAGACGAGAGTGCATGGGCACCCTGGCCTCGGCGGTGGCCAGAGAGGCGCGACGCGCTGAGCGGTGGGTCAGCGCATCACGGTGGCGGATCGTCGCAATGCGCCCGGCAGGGTGGCCGCATTGCGCATTGCGACGGCGGCGGCCTGGTAGGTGCGATGCGCGGAGCGGCCAAAAGCAGGACGCAATGCGCATCGCGGCGGCGGCTGCTCCTGATCGTCGTGATGCATCTCGCGACGATCGGGCCCGATGCATCGGGCGATGCGCTGTTCGGCGCGCTGGTTTGTGGGCGCATCGCGACAGCGGTCTGATCGACTTTATTCATTCATATCAGTAGTAATTTTCGAGTAACAAGGGACTAAACGTGAATGGATGGGGAAAGGCTTTAGGGCTAAGGCACGCACCGTTGATAGATGTCAGGTGCTGCTAATGAACGCCTTGGATGCGTGAACGGGAAGCCAGCTGGCGAAAGCTATAGCTACTAGTAATAGCGTGAGGAATAGCTGATGGCAGGAAGTAAGTTTGAGAGCTGCGATGGGGTCAAGGTTCTGTACTTGGTTGGAACCGTAGCGGGCAGGGGGGTGTACAGCACGTCGGGTCGTGGTGTGGTCATGAAGTATGCCTATGAGGCACTGGCGATCAACGAGTTTGGCAGGTGAGGAGTGGGTTTAACCTGTATGCTGAGGATGACACTGCATGCAGTGGAATGGCATCCCGGACGGCTGGGTCTGGCTGCACTACCTCTCGCCCATGAAGTATGCTTATGAAGCGCTGACGATCAACCAAGTTTGGCAGGAGAGAAATCGGCACCCTTTTGCAGGGGACATGAGTATGGGTGGAATGATGTGGGCATCACTTCTCGCCATCTCCCACTTCTTCACTATCTTTCTCCACCATCTCCCACTCCCCACCATCTTTCCCCACCGTCTCCCACTCCTCAGCACCAATCCCCAATCTCCATTTCTCTCCTGAATCATCACCCCACCAGGCCCGGAGGACCCTGTTACTTGGAAGCTGGCACAATGTTTGATAATACACCCGTGGCGCCGTATTTAAATGCAACCAGAATCAATAAGGCCATGGTGGGGATGCGGCAGGTGCTGGCTGGTACTCCTTATAGCAAAATCACTACAAGCACATGTTTGCGGGACGGGCCTCAGCTGCTAACGACTACACTGGCTGTGAATCAGCTCGACATGTGGGAGAATGTTGCGGTGCTGCTGGGTTTTGGAGTGTTTGTACGGTTGGTTACGTTTCTGCTTCTGGTGAGGTTCAGTAAAGCTAAGCAGCAGTGAGAGGCTGATGTGTTGATGCTCTCTATGACATTGTAATATTAACATAATTATTTTATCATATGTTTGCTTCCAGGTGGAACATTGGAGCATTCTGCCGGTTGGAATACCAGAATGTGAACAAGCTATTGTATTAAGCGAAATTTCATTTTAGTCCCACCTTAACACTGCCACTCAACAAAAGAACACACAAAAGTGGTTGTCTTGGGTCGACTCTAGAGGGCAATAACGAAGCGTCCATAACCGAGTTTCTCAAAAAGTCGACCGAAGACCCCACGTGATCAAACCCCCCGCATCCCCTCCCCCTGCGACCCCCCCCCCCCCCCACCCACCTCATACTCTTCCCCCCCCCCCCTCTAAACCCCACCCCAATTCCCCCCCTCACCCAACGCTGCATTCCCCTGACATGCTAGCTTCACTCCTCTCCGTGATCCACGCTTGAATCAAATCCGCCCCCACATTTCAGCTGAGATCATAGCATCACTCTAATAGCCACCACCACGGCCACCACGGCCACCACGGCCACCAGCGCCACCAGGACCATCGCCGTCACCGTCAGGCCTGTTGCCACCACGCCCGCCACGACCGCCACACTTGCCGAAATTCCCAGTGAGCGCGGCGCTCCAGGAGTTGCCGGTCGTGCTGTCGGTAAAAATGACAGCGTACGGCGAATCAGTCGTGGTGTCGGTGGTCCCGATGAACGTCGCGAACAGCGCCTTAGTCTTCGCGCCCATCCACGCGAGGCGCTGGCGCTGGCGCTTCAGGAACTGCTGCGTAAGCTTCCCCGCGCTGTTCCCCGCGAGCTCGCGCCCGCGGCGGCGTCCGCCGAAGGCGTTCTGGAAGCCCTGCTTCGCGCCGTTGATCACCTTGGTGAACACGTTCTGCGTCACCGTTGCGTTCGGCACGCCCGCGAGAAGCGCCTCGACGACCGTCGCGTCGGCGCCTTCCACGGTGCCCGTCACGCGCAGCTCCGTGTGCGAGCCGCCGCGCCCGCCGCGTGTCTGTGTGGTCCAGCCGGTGGACGGCAGAGTGAGGGCGGCGGTGGCGGTGGAGTCACACGCCGCGCCTTGCACGATGTTGATCGTGTCGGGCGCGGTTCCGCTGTACTCGTCAAGATCCGCGTCGAAATAGAGGTTGTAGACGGGCGTGCCCGACGACTCGTCCTTAAAGACGGCGAGCAGGAACTTGCCGCGAGTCGCGCCGATGTCCGTCGTGCAGTTAGAGACCCAGGCGCCCACGCGACCTGCGGATGGTATGAAGGGGCGAGGGAGGGGGAAGAAGGGGGGCGGTGGGGGAAGAAGGGGAGGGGGGAGTGGGGGTTCCGGGGAGGGGCGGAAAGAGACTAGCGCACGTTTGGCATCAATACTAGTGAACGGAAATTCCAGAAAAAAATGTATTCGGGATCGCATTGTGACGGGATGAACGAATCTGGCGGACTGAACCGTGCTAGATGGTGCACTCGTCGCACCTGTGAGATTTCCGGTGACGGACGCGTCGATCGGCGGGCCGTGGGGACCCCTTCCGCCGCGGCCTCCGCCGCCGAAACCACCGCCACCCCCGTGACCGAGAACTGCGCAGGCAGCGCAAGAAAAAAACAGATCAGATGTTGCAAGTTGACGCGTTAAGATCGTAATGACACATTGACACCCGAAGTAACGCGTCTGACATTCAAGGAAAGGGAGCGCCGGCCAACTACTTTAATTCAAACAAGGAAGGCTGGGAAGTCGGCGTCCACTGGACCAATTTAGTAGACGAGTTTTTCTGAGCTACGAGCATACCAGGCGCGACGAGGAGCAGGGCGAGGAGAGGGATAAGACCGGCGCGCGTCATCGTGTTTGACGATCGAAGCAAGTTACGCCAAGAACAGTCGATTTTCGAAGGAAGCTACGAGTGCAAGGCGTGTGTAAAAGGATGCTCAAATGCGTTCTGCTGGTGAATGAGGGAATGCGTGCAGGTATTTGTCCAATAGACTTGAGAGCAATTCTCAGTTGGCGCACACACAGCCAAGGTCGCGCTGCGCAGAGCCTAGGCGGAAGTGTGAGGGGTAGACTGGTCAGACCACTGAACAGTGTGGGTCGCGGTCCGCGGAGACCAACCAACCCCAGGAAAGATTGGGAGGAATTTTCTTTCACAAAGAAGTCGTCGTTTTTCAGCACAGCAGGAACATCGTTTTGACATTCAGGCTCTGCCCGAAACAAGAGATTGTTTACGTACCACTCCTTCGAGACGATTGGTACCCTAGTATAAGTGTCAGTTAGAATGTACAACCCCCCAGCAATTTTCATCTTCAGGATTTGATGTGTAGATGTCGGGCAGGGAAACATTGACAATCCTACATCAACACAGTGCCGACAGTTTTTGACTGGTCAGAGGAAGGAATACCCCTGGTCATGTGGACAAGACAACCTGGCAACAACTGTCAGCTGACGACGAACGAGCGAACGTCAACGAGTTTTGCGAGTACTCTCGCGCAAGACGATTTCTGCATCACGACGGTAACACTGATGCAGTACGGAAGCATGTCTCGTCTCGTGTCTGGTCATCGATTTTCCCTTGTCGTGAGTACTGTACGTATGTTTCAGACGGGATTTCTGTTCATGCTCCAGGTTTGTTGGTTGGATGGCAGATGTTAATGCGCTAATATGCAGCCAGTCAGTGTTCAGCTGGTCATCGCACCTCCTAAGATTTCTGATGGTGATATGCTTTTCAATGATATGCTCGGTTTTGATTGCTCGTTAATTTATTTCTTTGTTCAACCTGACGTATGTATGACTGTGCAAGACATGGTCTGACTGACCACCGGGCCTTTAGGGAAAGCACATTCCCAGTTGACAGCTATGGATAAGCTACTACCATATGATAGGACAACAACTTTCGTTTATTTTTCCTGTTGAACAAATCATGTTTATGCTGTCCCAATGGTTAAAACTGGGACTACCGGTATTACTGGCACTGGCAGCACTAACAGCCACAGCAACATTGGAAGCAACAAGGGCTACACATTTCTGCTCTCCCTCCCCTCCTTTGTCTCTCCTCACCAAGCTCAAAAACATTGCCTGCCATCACCATCGCCATCACCATCACCGTCACCATCACCATCCCCATCATCAACCCTCCCATCATCCCCCTCCTCTGTGCCAAAGTACCTGTCTCCGAACTCCCCCATTCCTGTCTCCGAACTCCCTTATTCCTGTCTCCGAACTCCCCCATCCCTGTCTCCGAACTCCCCCATCCCTGTCTCCGAACTCCCCCATCCCAGGCACAACTCTCAACCCCTCCTCAATCCCCGCAACAGCCTCCCACCCCTCCCCACACATCAAGACGCCTCAAAAGCGTCACCATCACCATCCCTCTCATCATCCCTCCCAGCATCCCCCTCCTCTGTACCAAAGTACCGGTCCCCAAACTCCCCCATTCCTGGCACCATTCTGTACTCCTCGTTAATCCCCGAGTCGATTTCCGATGTCACGATCTTGAGGTGGGGGAAGCGGCGGCACACGTTGTGAATGCCCTCCGGGGCCTGAAGGAGGGGTTGGGTGGGGCACAGTGACAGGTAGAGGCGAGCAATGGATGGGCGGCGAGGGAAAAAAGACACAGGGATCGCAAGGTGAGGGAGGTGCTGACACCACTCTGCACTCCTCATTACTCCCCACGCCAAACCCCCACCCCTACCCTGCTCGATACTCCTCATCAAACCCCGAATCGATCTCCGATGTCACTATCTTGAGGTGGAGGAAGCGGCGGCAACGTGCAGCGAGGTTGTTTTTGAGACGTCTCAAAACCATTGTGAATGCCCTCCGGGGGCTGGGGGAGGGAAGGATGGGTGGGTGCAGGGAAGGCAGGAGAAAGAACAAAGATGAGTAAGGACCTTGAGGTGGCGGAAGCGGCGGCACACATTGTGAATGCCCTCAGGGGGCTGGGGGAGGGAAGGATGGGTGGGTGCAGGGAAGGCAGGAGAAAGAACAAAGATGAGTATGGACCTTGAGGTGGCGGAAGCGGCGGCACACATTGTGAATGCCCTCCGGAGCCTTGGGGGGGGGGGAGGAGTGGTGGGGTGTAGGGAATGGAAGGGGCGCGAAGAGGAGGCAAGCAATGGAAGGGCAGAGAAAGAACAAGATACAAGGACGCTGAAGTGGGGGAAGCGGCGGCACACATTGTGAATGCCCTCCGGTGCCTGGCGGGAGGATGGAGGTTTGCAACAGGCGAAGAAGGAGCAGAGAGAAGGGTGGGTGGGAGCAGGAAAGGTAAATGGGAAGGCATGGCGATCTTGAGGTGGTGGAAGCACCGACATACTTTGTGAATGCCCTCTGGGGCCTGGGGGAGGGAATGATGGGTGTGAAGGAGCATGGGGGGAAAGGTAAGGTGAAAGATGGAACATGGAAATGAACTGATGAGGTGGTGGAAGCACCGACACACTTTGTGAATGCCCTCTGGGGCCTGGGGGAGGGAGGTTAGAGCAGGGAAGATAGAAAGGGAGCAGGGGTAAGGAATGTCCAAGATGATAACCCTCTTCACCACTAATTACCGCTTTGTAATTCGCTTATTACACTCACTGGTGAGGTTGAAGAACATGCTTTGCTCGTCACGCACCCCTGCTTGCAGCAGCTGTGGTGAGCAAGTACCCAACTGGTTGTTCTCTTCACCACCAAGTACCGTTCTTAATCCCTTCTAATCATGAGCTCACCGAGATGAGGTTGAGAAAATGATTTGCTCGTCAGGCACCCTTCGGTTGCAGCAGCAGCTCGGATGAAGAATAACCCAGCTGATAATATCCTGCACCACTAAATACCGCTCTGCGCTCCTCATAAACTCACTGGAATGAGTTGAGGAATATGATTCGCTCCTCAAGCACCCCTCGGTGCAGCAGCGTCTGGGGTAGCGGCTCTCTGCACCACTGATTACCGCTCTGCACCCCTTCTAATCATGAACTCACCGAAATGAGGTTGAGGAAGATGATTCGCTCCTCAAGCACCCCTCGGTGCAGCAGCAGCTGGATAGCCTTGATGGCAGAGCGACCTGGAGGGGAGAGCAAATAGGGGGAATAGGAGAATAAGGGGGATCGGAATCAAGGCAAAGGATGCGGAGCGTAAGCATGAAGGTTTAGTCCCATCTCTACCACCCCTTGGTGCAACAGCAGCTCGATAGCCTTGATGGCAGAGCGGCCTGGAGGGGAGAGCAAATAGGGGGAATAGGAGAATAAGGGGGATCGGAATCAAGGCAAAGGATGCGGAGCGTAAGCATGAAGGTTCAGTCCCATCTCTACCACCCCTCGGTGCAACAGCAGCTCGATAGCCTTCATGGCAGAGCGGCCTGATGGAGAGGGGTGAAATCAAGGCAGGAGGCCAAGCAAAGCAGCACTTTAATAAGATCGAAGGGCAGTGTATAGGTCACTTGATTGGCAGTAAGCTGTAAGTAGTAACGAGTAAGCACTAAATAGGAACTAGTAAGCAGTAAGTAGTAAGTAGTACCGACCGGGATAAGGGTGCTTATCTGAGGAGAGCACCGGGCCCAGTAGCATCACGTACCAGGCGAGGAGGGAGGGGGGTAAAGCCTCACCTGACGCCAGCACAGGGTCGAGCAGCATGACATGCCTCTGGGCGATGTCCCGGGGGAGCTTCTCGTATATCAGCTGGCGGGGATGGAAAGGGGGAAGAGGAGGGGTAGAGAGCATGGGGAGCAAGGAGGGGAGGTAAGATAAACAAGGTGAAAGAATGCCTCTGTGAGATGATGTCTCGGGGGAGCTTCTCGTGTATGAGCTGGCGGAAGATTGCAGAAAGGGGATGGGGGAGGTGGAGTATGGGGAGTGAGGGAGCAAAGATGTGAGGAAGGGGGAGAAAGAATGCCTCTGGGAGATGTCCCTGGGAAACTCTTGTGTATGAGCTGGTGGGGAAGGGAGAAGGGGAGGTGAAGGGGGAGAGGGAGCATGAGCAGCAAGGGAGAAAGCGACACACATAATGCACTTATAGCACACACATGTCGAAGTGGAATAAACTAGGAGCTGCGATGAGCAAAGAGCGAAGATGCCTCACCCCCTGACATTTTAGTCGACTCAAAAGTTGACTTCTGACTTTTCGAGTCGACTCAAAATTCAGAGAGGGAAGATGCCTCACCTGCTTCCCAAGCCCATTTTAAAAGTGAGGTTTGTTTCTAAACGGGTTTAGGACATTTGAGATGGGAATGGTCTGTCTGTCAATTTCTGTACACACATGCTGAATGGCTTGTACAGAAGGCAAAGAAGCCTCACCTGCTTGCCAAAATCGCCATCCTTGTGGATGGGTGTTCTGCCCATCTTCACTCCCTTTCAGCACGGGCGAGGCAAGGTGAGATCACACTAATGCTTAAGAGAATGCACATACAATGCAAAATGCACAGTGCGCACACACACATCATAGAAGGCAAAGAAGCCTCACTTGCTTGCCAAAGTCGCCATCCCTGTGGATGGGTGTTCTGTCCATCTTCACTGCCACCGATTCGGAACGATTTACGTCAGCATCAACATGTTGTGCAGAAGGCACCACCGGTGTATGCATGCATATGCATACAAACGAGAGCAGGGAAACAGAGAGGAGAGAGAGGGAGGGAGGAATAGGGGTGGTTTGCGCCTCACCTGCTTGCTGTAGGCACCCCTCTCGTGCAACATGAAAAAACAAACGAGCCTGGGGGTGCTGAGCTTCGGGGTGGTGAGCCGCAGAGTCCGGAGTCTGGGGGTTCTGAGTCTGGAGGTACAGGGCCTGGGAGTCCTACACCTGGAGGAGCCCTCTCCTCAGAGCAGCTGCGTGAGTGGTACTTACAACACTGCAGCCTCAGGAGAGGTGCCTCTGGAGCCGGGCGTGCTGCTGGGACTTGTGCTAGTGCTTCTCCTCCTAGTCGGGAGCTCCCCTCACGTGAGCGAATCCATGAGTGGTACGAGCGGCGCTGCACTGTTCGGAGTGGCGCGCCTCGTGTCGCGGACCCCGCAAGCGTTGGAGCTCCTGCTGGTGCTGCGGACCCGGGCGTTGGAACTGCTGCTGGTGCTGCGGACCCAGGCATTGGAGCTGCTACTGGTACTGCGGACCCGGGTGTTGGAGCTGCTGCGGGTGCTGAGGACCCGGGCGTTGGAGCTGCTGCTGGTGCTGCGGACCCGGGTGTTGGAGCTGCTGCTGGTGCTGTGGACCCGGGCGTTGGAGCTGCTGCTGGTGCTGCGGAACCGGGTGTTGGAGCTGTTGCTGGTGCTGCAAACCCGGGCGTTGGAGCTGCTGCTGGTGCTGCGGACCCAGGTGTTGGAGCTGCTGCTGGTGCTGCAGACCCGGGCGTTGGAGCTGCTGCTGGTACTGCGGACCCGGGTGTTGGCGCAACTGCTGGTGCTGCGGACCCGGGTGTTGGAGCTGCTGCTGGTGCTGAGGACCTTGGTGCGGGTGTCTCTGCTGGTTCTGGTGCCGCTGCACGGCCGCGACTGTACTTTGTTCCGCTCCTTCAGCAGGTTCTTGGTCCGCTCCCTCCTCCGTGTCCTCCTCCCTCCTTAGGGTGTCCTTCGTCTGCCCAGCTGCCGTCGCAGCTACCGTTTGCCTCCTCTCTCCCTGGTCCTGCTCCTTACACTCATCCGACTGGAGGTCTTACTGAGCGTCATGAGCCTGAGTCTCGTCCTGCGTCGCCTGTCCGTACTGCTCTCTCTAGTAGTCGTGTCCAGCATCAGAGTCTTCCTGCTGTCCCAGGCACTCACCGGATGGCACTTCGTCCGTCCACTGCTCCACATCGTGTCCCACTGCCGTCTCCTCCTACTTCCTCTCTTCCTGCTCTTGCTGACCCGGGGTCAGACTCCCTTCGTGCTGCCAGTCCTACTGTCACGCGTCTCCTGGCTACTGTTGTCACTGACCCTTCCTTCGAGTCCGCTGCTCTGTCTGCCTTAGTTGCTGAGCTTGTCGACTTTGCTGCCACCTGTCGTCTAGACTACGCTGCTAGCCTAGTTGCTGAGTCTGAGTCTATCTGTCCTCCGTCCGTCGGGGGTGAGTGTGCTCTTGGCACTGACGTCCTTGAGGACAGGCAGGAGGAGTTTGAGTGCTTTGCTGCCGCTTTGCCCCATCTCGTGTCCATGCTTGTTGCCCCTGAGGGAGACCCGGATGCACCAGACATCCCGACCCCACGCTCTTACGCAAAGGCCATGGCCGGTCCCTACTCCTCTCAGTGGCAGTCGGCCATGGACACAGAGATGGCTTCTTGGAAGTCCACAGGCACCTACGTCGACGAGGTTCCCCCGCCTGGGGCGAACATCGTCAGTGGCATGTGGATTTTCAGGGTGAAGCGGCCGCCGGGCTCTCCGCCTGTCTTCAAGGCGCGTTACGTTGCACGAGGCTTCAGTCAGCGAGAGGGAGTTGACTTCTTTTAGACCTTCTCCCCGACCCCGAAGATGACCACTCTTCGGGTTCTGCTGCACGTCGCCGCTCAACGTGACTACGAGCTCCACTCGCTTGACTTCAGCACTGCTTTCCTACAGGGCAGCCTGCACGAGGAGATCAGGCTGCGCCGTCCACCTCGCTTCAATGGGTCGTTCCCTCCTGGTACCCAGTGGAGCCTCCGACGGCCAGTCTACGGTCTTTGCCAGGCGCCACGTGAGTGGCACGACACACTGAGGACTACACTTGCGGCTCTTGGGTTCGCGCCTTCTACTGCTGACCCGTCGCTGTTTCTACGCACCGACACCTCACTGCCGCCGTTCTACGTCCTCGTGTACGTCGACGACTTGGTCTTGCCACTGCTGACACTGCGGCACTCGCCCACGTGAAGTCGGAGTTGCAGAAGAGACACACGTGCACAGACCTGGGTGAACTGACAAGCTATCTTGGCTTGCGGATCACCCGGGACAGAGCACGCCGCACCATCACGTTGACTCAGTCACACATGGTGCAGCAGGTCCTTCAGCGCTTCCGCTTCACGTACTCCTCGCCTCAGCCCACTCCTCTGCCTACTGGTCACTCGCTCTCAGCTCTGCCTTCGGATGAGTCCGTAGAGCCGAGTGGCCCGTATCCAGAGCTTGTGGGCTGCCTCATGTACCTGATGACCTGCACTCGACCTGACCTTGCATACCCTCTTACCATTCTTGCACGCTATGTCGCTCCCGGCCGTCACCGGAAGGAGCACAAGGATGCAGCTAAGAGGGTGTTGCGCTACTTGTGCAGTACGTCGGGCATGGGGCTAGTGCTTGGAGGGCGAGTCCCAGTTGTTCTCACTGGGCACTCAGACGCTTCTTGGGCAGACGACCAGGCTACTCAGCGGTCGTCTCAGGGTTACTCCTACAGTCTTGGCTCTGGCTCAGTTTCTTGGTGTTCTACTCGCTCTTCTTCTGTTCTCAGCTCCAGTTGTGAGGCTGAGATCTACGCCACAGCCATGGCGGCCCTGGAGCTACGCTGACTCACCTACTTGCTGACCGACCTTGGAGAGCAGCCTCGTTCTCCTCCAGTGCTGTACGTCGACAACAAGGCAGCCATTGCCTTGTGTGAGGAGCACAGACTGGAGCACAGAACGAAGCACATTGCTCTGCGTTACTTCCTTGCTCGAGAGCTGCAGCAGCGTGGTCAGCTTGGCCTGCGTTACGTGGCCTCTGAGGCCAACACTGCTGACGTGTTCACCAAGGCGCTTCAGCCTTGTGACCATCAGCCCTTTTGCACTCTTCTAGGCCTTGTGCCTACTGGACCTCACTTGCTTACTTCTTGAGTCTGTTTGTACTGTGATCTCTATATATGTATGCCTGCATGTTTACTCTTGCTAGGTTGTGATCATTGTACCTCGTGCTCTATTATAAACCTGCATGTGAACTGGTCTTCTGACCACTTGCTTGTGCTCAGAATTTGTGTGGTATCCTTGAGATCCACCCTGAGCTTGTTTTGTCTTGCTTTGCCTTGACTGGTCTTGTGACCCCTAGTTCTCCCCCACTTCGCCTATGGGGGTGTGTCAAACATTATATATGTTGTTGTGCTTGTTTAGGCTACCGTGGGTTAGCCTATAGGGGATACACAATTCTAGGGTTAGGTACTTGTACTGATTTCACTGTTAGTTCAATCATTCCTGTTCAATTATTTCAACAGTCTCAGCACCCCCAGGCTCAGTACCTCCAGTAGTACCACCCGAAAGCCCAGCACCCCCAGGCGTAGCACCCACACGCGCAGCACCCCCAGAGTCAGCACCCCCAGGCTTAGCACCCGCAGTAGTACAAGAGTCACCAGTAACCTCGACCGGCTCGACTGCCTCTACCTGGGACACACCTGAAGGGGCAGGACCCTGAGGGGGGAGGGGGTCTACCGCGGGGGGACCTGGCACAAGGAAGAGCGGTGGCGGGGGAAGGGAAGGAGTGCGGTAGGGGAAGAGGCGGTTGAAGGGGACCGACTCGTCAAACGTGACGTCCTGGGAGGACAAAACACAACCAGAGGTGGGGTGGTAGAACTGCCACCCTGGCGCGTCAGGGGGGGAGCCAAGGAAGACACAAGGAGCAGCACAAGGGGACAGCTTGTCCGCAGACAGGTCGCGGACAAACGCCCGAGATCCCCAGACACGGAACGCAGACGCATCGCTAACCTTCCCCGTCCACAGCAAAGCTGGGGAGGTCTCCGGCATGGAGACCCTGGGGTGAAGGTTGATCTGATGCGCCGCGTACCGAACCGTAAATGGCCACAGAAAATGGGGGGCAGCCGCATGCATCATGGACGTACGGGCGACGTCCATGACCATGCCAATGCGGCGCTCAGCAATCCCATTTTGCTGTGGAGAGTCCGGAAGCGTAAAGGTCTGGCGGATGCCTCGCGCACGGCAGAAGGCTCGCAGAAGGCCAGAGGAGAACTCTCCGCCTCGGTCAGAGTGCATACGCAGAACAAGAAAGTCCGAGCCGAAGCTCCTCCTGAGCTGGAGAGGAGCTGTGCGGATCCAGTCGATCAACACCTCAGCGACATCACCCTTGCTAAGCAAGGGGAAGACTGTGGTGTAACACGAGTAGTCGTCAACCACCAGCAGAAAGTAGCGCTCATGACCCTGTCCACGGACGCGGGCCGGGCCCCACACGTCCATGTGAAGCGTCTGCAGCGGGGCCTATGTCGGGGGAAACTGAGAGGAGTAAGGGGCAGCCCGTAGCCGCCCCTCGACACAGGGGATGCAGGAAGGGCC